ACCCTCTTGCTTTTACTACTATTACAGCTACTGCTTTGCTCTAAAGGAACATGATACACGGTCGTTCAATCCATCGTCAAGTACGTAGCTTGCCCACCCGAGAAAGGCGTCCCGTTCAGATATTAACGCATCGTTTCTTGTTACCACATGGTGAAAACAGTATCATCTTAACGGAACTTTATCTAAAAACTGTAACTAGAATATTATCTTATTGAGCACAAGTAAGTTCTCTAGACACCGATTTTGGTGCCATTTCAGTTGCCACTTAGTAGCCCGCTTTTTCCTCTTCAATCCACTTACATTTTACCACTCCCATTATCGATAGAACTAATTTATTACTTTTCTTGATTTTCACTAGAACTAATTGACGTCGTCGTCGTCTTCCATTGGCCTTTCTGAAGCGGTGCCGGTTCGCTTCGTCATCTTAGAATCAACTTCGCTTCTCACTTCGCTTTTTCGTCTGCTGTCGAAATCAACTCAGACACGGGACACAGATAAAATCGGGTGACAGCATTGACCATAATTCAGAGAAAAACTTTTTTTTCTTTTTTAATTATTATAATTATTTTCTTCGTTCTATTTCCCGACTTGGTCGACTTGTAGTGACAGTGGCAGATGGACGGACAGACAGACGGACGAAGCCCTCCTCTTCGCTCCTGAACTTTCCCTCACTTGCTCCTGCGCCAATTCGATACCGGCACTACGCGAACGACTCGATGTATAACACGTACAAGCGATATATATACATGCACATGGGAACTTGAGGAGAGCGACATCTGCTGTCTGGAGGTCGAAAATTTCTTCTCCCGCTCATAGACGCTACCGTCTTGGCAGCCGCTGGTGGTTTCTGGCAACGCGAGTTCCCTATTTAGCTTATGAAGGGGTTGGTTCCTCTTATTCGACGCCCTTTCTTCCCCTTGTAGCTTTGTTCAGCCTTCTCGAACACACAAGAGTCCCTGCTTTGCAAGGAGCATCATTGGTTCACCCTCTTGCTCACCAGCAACCATACATTGTCATAGGGCTGTGTGCAGTCACCACCTGCTTGCCTATTTCTACTTAGATGAGGTGTGGCTGGCTGCTTGCCCTTTAGCATCTTTTCTATCTGTAGCCATCTGTACTCTTGTCCTTGCGCTGCCTATTCTACTGGAAGGACGAAGCAATTGGGGCAGCACCGCCTACAACGCACTGTTTGTGGCAGGCGGGGCATCAGCAGTAGCCGGTAGGGACCAGTTAAACCAGTTGAAACAACGGAGGGAGAGAGAGAGAGAGAGAGACATAACTTTCGAACTGGGGACGTTCAGTTGGAGTAGGAGGGCTGCCGGAAGCTGCGTTACCGTAGTCGGCACGGAAGTAATCGCAATTGTTGGCCTCCCTGTGGGTGCCGGCTGGCTGACAACCCTGTGATTCGTGCAACGTCTGCGTTCTTGATGTCTCTCCTAAAAAGTCGTGCCTGGTCGCTACAGGCGAACCGCCGCTATTTTAGCCGTTCGCAGTATCGACAAGCGACCTTAGTCAGGCAAAATTAGCGGTGACTCCAGCTTTAGCGTCTTTATCTTGCAAAAAGTAGCAGGTTCCACGAGCCTCTACGGGATGAAGCTCAGTGGATGAAGGGGAAAGTGAAACAACCATTTCGGCTTGTCTTCGTCTGGGCGTAGTTTTGCACTTCCGATTGCGCCAGCAGTACCAATCGAGGCTGCAGAAGCAATGATAACAAGCGAGTCTGCCGCGCTGTTCGTGCAAGGACTGTGCGGAAGGGGAAGGGAAGCCGAAAACTTACGTACTTCTTTTCGTTGTTCTCTGCTTTTCGACAGGTTCTCGTTTCGTGGAACGAATCGAGGCGATCTTTACCGGAATGAATTCTGTGCAAAACAGCGTTCTACGCTAACATCCCAACGGATGCGAAAGAAAAGGCTCAGCCGGCCGCATTGATGCCGATCCGACCACTTTCTGGCTACAGCCGTTGCCACCTCGAAATGGGTTTCGTTGTACGAGTTAGCTTCCTGCCGCCTAGCCGTCGCCGCTGACTATTGCTTTGACAGTCTATAGTTTGTACCGGCGGAAAGGCTAGCACTTTCATAAACACCCATACACACATAGACATTTTGTTTTTCAACCATCCCCATTACCGAAGCTATTCCCGAGTCAGGCGACGAAGTCGCAGGCAGCTGACGCTCTTATTCCTGTTTAACCTTTTCGTTTCTAACGTATACAATAAGTGTGAATTAATACAATCGAATTCCATGATCTGATTACAGTGTAATGTTGCAGATAGAAATTTGTTCTTTCGTTTATTGATCACGAAAGAGCCATTTTTGAAGACTGCCGAAGCTTTTGTTGTTATGGCCATTCGTAGTTAACACATGGCCAAACGTCATCACGTTCATGTGTGGTTAAGTGCCTTTCCGAAAAAAGCGGTAGGTGAAGAAGCAATTAAAACGCTGTCCTGGTTATTTTTTGCAGGCTCTCCAAATTGTAAGGACGATTTGCTGACCTCATATCGGCTCCCTCGGTCTCCGTCATAACGTATCGAGCAACAGCCAGACCTCACGTACACGTCAAAGACTACTTGCTTGTCTGTGCACATCGTATTTCTCTAACCATTAATAACGAGCGATTCGATTGGCCATTGTTGTAAGGGTATCACCAGTGCTTTACTTCGGTATCAGTTCGTTGGCGAAACGAAATAAAGGAAAGGGACCCATGCAACGCTGCGTGCAGGGGCTGGAGCATTCAGACGTTGCCATATTGCCTATGCTCATTAGCGCGAATAATGTGGACGGGAAAAGTGGTTGTTTCAGGAAATTTCGCCATCGCCACACCCGTCGGCCATCACAATCTTTGTTTTTCTTGAAACTCTTTAGTTTTCTCTAACCCGCCACGACTACAACCGACACCTCCCTATTCATGTTATTGCGAGCTTTAATCAGCGCATCAGTTTACTCCGCGCGAGGGAATGGAATATGGCGGACGATAGAAAGGGTAATAGATGCTCCATTCTTACGGTCCTTCGAACATATGATACAGGCTACGAATATTTCAAGGGCAAAAAAGTGGAGAGTTGTTAATAACATGGAAGGCGATTTAAAGTTCATTAGCAGTTTGTTGAAGCCACTTACCGGTAGTGTTTTCTGTCCGCAGATAGTGAAGCCCGGCAATTTTTTTTGCGCGAATCGATTGACGACCGAAGTTGTATCGAGATGTCTATAATGACGTGTTTATCTAGTAAGAATGATCTGAGAGCATCGTTTGTTTCATTGATTGGCAGGCCATGGGACGATTCTAAATAATTCTGTCGGTAACAATAAAACGATATACCATGAGAAAGGGTCTTTCTTATTTTTGTACTCCTGCCTGTAATCTACTTATCTCTGCGGGAACACCGAGGGAGGGACTATAACACAGCCCGTTTCTGTGTTCGTTATAACACAGAATGCCGCTGAAAGATCGACAGAATTTGGCCTTAATAATGAAGCGTACGGTAAGATTGTATAGGTACGTATTTGGTGCTGTGAATCACGATCGACAAAAATCTATAGAATATAGCTCTTGTGTCATATCTTGCATCATACAAATAAACTAAAAATGTAATCACGCTGATAGTTTCAAGGGGTTCACAAAGCGTGCCAGGCAAATATACGATATCTGCAGCCATGATCTTCACCAACACGCAGCCTGTCGTAACCTAACTGCCTCTACAACTGGGTCGGCAGAGCTAGTTGTAGAGGCAGTTAGGTTAGGTGGTAGTAGGCTAGTAGCAGAATTGTGTCCGACCCGAGCGGGGCCTACAGATGTTAAGGGAGTCGATTAATGAACATTAACACGTGTGGCCTGACTACTGCCACACAATTGCACACAAACACATCCGAAACGGAACGAGTGTGAGTCGACAAACGATAACGATTATTCTTCCTCGCTCCAACATTAGTAATAGACAATCGACGCTGATGGGAGAAAGCCAAGTTAACTGGCCCCGTTTCCTCGTCCCTATCTTCGCCACTGGAAGCATTAAAAGCCTGGCCGGACTGTGACTCAACGCTTTCCGGCAAAATCTACTGGTGTTTAATGACACGAGCAAAAAAATAGTCGATGTTTAATGGCTCTCTCAAGCAGAATCTCACGAGAGCAGGGATCCTGACGAAATACGTCTGTTCGCCAAAGGCAACACAACTACATGTAATTTCATTGTAGGGGTTTGGAAGAACTGAGACTTTAAAGTTGCCATTCTAGCGTAACGCGGTCTGTTCAACAGAATTCATGTTCACATAAGCACATGCGATTGGTAACTGATAACTTTTGTGCGATAATAATTTGGACGGCATTGGCTGTCGCCCATCGCCCGCCATAGTGACTTTAGGATGCTCAATAGAACTGCTGCGTCAGTCGATCTCTAGTTCTGAATTAGAAAGGAAAAAGAACTTGAACTACTTCTCTGTTCGGCCAGTTCTTTTCTAGTAGGGTGTAATGTTAACCATCGATTACAATGGGCACGACTACTGAAGTTACCAAAGGATCGGAAATGAAGGCGGTTTCCTGTGCTTCGTAGCAATTGACCTGCTTGTGTTAAATAGTTGGATAGTCTTTCTGTAGCTGTTTGGGTAGGAACATACTCGTCCGGATTAGAAATCATGTCTACGTAGTGATCTACTTTTTTTTTTGTAGTCAGTGGAATTCCACATCTTACTTCAGTGAGTACTATTTGTTTTTTGACTTAGTATCGAGTTATTAATTTGATGAACGCTTCAGGCTGTAATGTGTCTACATGTTTTTTCCTGCCAGTTAATCTGCCATTTAGTATAGAAATTTCCGTTAAATATTCAGCTTCACTCTTATCATTTACCTGTTATTATCTGTAGCAACTACTGATACATTCGGTCCCGACGACTCGTGGAATCGGTCGTATTTTTTAAACTCTCTCTTCGATTACACAGTAGCTGTTTCGAAAGAAAGCCAATAAAATAGCCAATAAAGCAAAATATGCATCACACTACTCGAATCCCTACCTTTATCAGTGAAACTTCGAATTAGGTTAGCATTGTATGGGTTGGCAGTCTTCATGAAGCCCTGCTCCGTTGCCGTGTAATTGTACAGCTCGAGCATATACTGTGGTGGCAGGACGTGCCCACGGAGCTTTGGCTCCTTCAGGCCAAACACTTGCAGTAGCCGTTTGCCGGCCCGAATCTCCTCAGCTGTCGTTGTTTGGCCTGATTCCGATCCATGGTAATTGCGATCGATGAGTTCCTGTCGACGGTGCTGCTGATGCTGTTGATATCGCGACGAAGAAAGGGGAAATGACGACACTTCTTGGTTAATATGAACATTTCGCGCAGTAGCGGCCGTTGTCGCCCAGCATATGACTGCCAGCAAAAGCGTCCGACATGTCATGTTGCCGCCGCCGCTTGACTGGTTATGTTGATCAATCGATCGGATTGGGCTAATGAGAACGGCTTCAGATCAGTTCGTAGCTGGTATAAATGCAGACCTTCACAGAACCAGCTACTTCCGTACGCTGAGCTCGGTATAGGGCAGCTCACCTTAGTCATAAGCACAGATCACCAACGCGTCCTCTCCGTGTCTTGTCGTACTAAAGTTCGTCCACGCATCACGCCGATATAATCATGGACAGCAACGCTGCAGCGTGTCCTGCTGCCCAGAATAAATCCGTTTCGATACTAAATCAATGTAGTCACTTGCCTGTCACGATGTACCGATGTATTAGATTAAATGCAGATAGGAAGCCTCAGGATGAATTTAGCACTGGCGAAAACATGCTATCAGGCCGCGCGAGTTTAAACGGTGCTATTCGGGAGTTTCAATAATCCGTCGACAACGTTTAATACATTAAGGTAACGGCTTTTTCACCTACTTCAATGAAGTGTTTTGAGCAAAACGTTGACGGTGAATGCAACGCCCCACAAATGTTATTGGCTACATAGGCAAGAACGGACCGTTCGCATTTGGGTAGTGCCGAACTAACTCAATGTTGTGGTACCACGACAGGTAAAACTAATCGTCCTTCAATTTTGTCAACATGAGAAGCAACTGTCTATCCAAGAACCGTATTGTCAGAAGACGATCGGTGGCATTCGCTGTCGTCCTAGTAGAGAGAGCCTCTAAACGAAGCACTCAAAAATACTCATTATCATCTTTATCATCAGAAACCACAAAATCTAACGTAGATAAGTGCGGACGTAACTTTAACACGTCAATAGGCCGACGATCAGTCACCCACTGATGCGCATAAATAACACAAATGACGCCACGGCTCGATTGATATGTGCCATCACCAACAATTAATCCAGATATATTACCACAACTTCACAGCAGAAATAAGCAAGACAACGTTAAACATTGATGGTATAACGATTACGTTGCATCATTAAATTCCTCTTCGATCCTTATGCAGACTATGCCACGATGCCCTATTGCTGAGAGCGAATCAGAGTCTTCCAAACCTTAAGCAGCGCTTCGCTGGAACGCACGTCCGGCAGCGCTAACTTTACGGAGGTTCCGTTACGGCAGACGGAGTCTGTAATGGGCGCAATCACAGGTTTTCATGAGACACTCGGCCAAACACGACGACCATATGCTGATGTGCATTGCAACTGTGTACAACTCTTCCGGCGGGGAGGGGGGGGGGGTGAAGCCTAGAAACTCCTGCAGATTAAGACACTGTTGCAAAGAGTCGATCAACTTCGAAGTTTCTTTGAATAGACTCAGTCCAGAAACCAAGGCCAAGGCCTATTCGAAAAGTGTGTTCGCAACATTAAACTAAGCTGAGTTTTAACTAGTTGCTGAACGGGAACTTGCTATATTGTCCCATTTTCATTGCCTTTGTTGACCCAGATCAAGATTGCGCCTTACTGATGTGCTAGGTCAATTCAATATCTTTGACTATTAAACGAATGCCATTCAGTTTTCGATTCAGTAGTGCTTCTTGTATGTACAAGTTTCCTCTGTTCAGTGTATAAGAGCACGCCGTGTTCGACGAATGAACTCTTGGCGATAAGTAAATACGAGCTGCCAGCCGCTAGTTCGTGCCTGAAAAGACGATCCGTATCTCTGTTTCGTCTTCTCGTCCCTTTTCACCGAACCGACCAGCAATATGCTATGAAGGTCGAGCCGCAGCAGCTAGTACCTGTTTTCAGTTTGCGATTGATCCGCCTGCTTGATTGTTTTTGTATTCGGTGTTTTTAGTGTAGTTAGCCCCTATTCTCACACAAACAGACGTTATTGCTATTGTAGATTCCTAGTTCTTTTGCCTGTAGTGGACGCTGCGGTCTAACTAGAACCATCACAACGCGGCGTAAAACAAGTTCGGCAACAAGAGATAGATACTGGTAGAGACGACTGCCATGCACCGATAAATTCACATCGACGAGGTACTAATGTCCGATTTGCATCGGATCCGACTCGACGGACAAGGTCAATGGCGTGAGTCTGTTCCCGTTGGAGTAGCGGGTCCAACTTGCTTCGTCTTCCTTCTCTGCCGTTTCGCAGTGGCGGTAGCTAGGCGGTAGGCTAGTGGGCAGGCCCATCCGCATTCAGCTGAACGTATTGTACCACAACTCCAGCACAATTTAGTCGAAGTCGAACTGCGTGCGTCTGGCGCGGGATGTTGTTGTGGACACCGGCCTTCGGTAGGAGAGACCCCTGGCGTGGAGAGGGCGTCTGCTGGGAAAGGGTCACACGGCTAAGACGTCGCAGTTCGCTATGGCCTCGACTGCTCGCTGCTCATCGCCATACAGTTATAGCGCCGTGGACTAACACCGGAGTAGTAGAACCAGTAGTAGGCGAAGAAAGGTTTTCTTTTGGCCGTCGCCGTCGGCCAACGCCTGTGCTACTGGCTACTCGACTTAGGAATAGCTACTGAGGCGGAGGAGGTTCTGTTAGCGTTTACATTCACGTCCGCCAGTCTTCCACCGTTCGCTTATGTTTGTATTCTCCGCTACAGCGTTAGACAGCCCCTGCTCTGACAGAAGCCTGAGTCAGGCTGGGGCAGAACCTGAAGTTCGAAACTCAAACCTCGCCAGTCAGATTACCGATTCGCTTCGATATCTGGCCAAAAGACGCAAGCAAAGCCCAGACTGGGCATAACACTAACGGAGCTCAGCTCAAGCGACGGAAGGGTATAGCAGGCAACAGGTTACATGCGGTAGGATGACCGAGTAAGTAGGTGATAGCAGACAAAACCGCTCGGGACCTAGGGGAGTTCAGGGTTCCTTTAAGCGGATGGCCGCCTAGCTATCGCCCCTCAAGCGTTTCCTCGTTCGGTCGCTGGATCGTTAGTTGGTGGGCTTTTTGGTCGATCAGGCTACTTCTGAACTTTGGCGACTGCTCAAGCGTTTTCGATTTTCAGATGTTCAACACGTTTGGGTATATCCATAGAAGAGGAGATCGCAAGCGAAGCAATCGGCCAGATTTGAGATGGCCCCACGTGGCAACGCAAGGTTAGAATAGCAAAAGTATACAACTGCCAAACGATGAACAGAACTTCACAGCGTTAGTTGTAAATGTTAGTGGTTATGGATGTAGCAGACGGCTAATAGCTAACGAAACATTTGTCGAATCTGTGCATTTTCAGATAAAATTGCTCACTACTACGCTAAGTTGGCTGTGCAGTGCTCATATGTAATCAATAGATGATAAAGCATTCAATGATCTGAGCAAATCAGATCACTCCTTATCATTTCATCGCTGATATAATCGTTGTTCGATTAAAACGATATATAAATACATATTAGTACCCGAGCGAAAAAAGATGGCTAATTATGCCTTGCTAACTTGTTTCGTGTGCAATAAGAATCGTAAAAGCTAATCGACGATGGTAAGTTCACCTCCACATACGTGTGGGCTCCTTTTTGCCGGAAAAATCTAGTTTGGGTACGTACATTGCTAAAAATTAACGTAGTAAAGCATCTAGGGCATGCTGAGGATATACTTATTGGAAAACCAGTAAGATAAACTAATCGATACGCTGATATGTCGATGTAGTGCGCTTGCGTTATTAGGCATATTTGAATCGGTAACTTAACGCCTCTAAAATGCTAATTTAACTTAGAATTGCTCATAATATTGAGCAGCATTATTGTTCGGGAAAATCACTCGATGAGCGAAGTGTCATAGGTCGATATTTGTTTTTTGACAATGATTGGCTACACTGGCTATTATTACATTACAACTGAAGTATAAAAAGGGTCTAGATCTGACTCAGTCTTTGAAAGTATGAATGAACCCTATCCAACTTATAAATAAAGGTCAATCCGATTCCTGGGTCGGAATGTTGACACTTCAACAAAAATGCCCAAACGACGTGGCTCTTATTCTATCTCCACCCATCGTAAACGGTAGAAGCAGCCACAGCCATTTAACCGACAGAAATATATGAGGATCGACTTGGTGCGATCCGTAAATGCTCGATCCGGTAAGTACACTGCCGAGCGTCTCGACCCCTTTGAGTGACAAGACCGCTTTCTCATCTTTGCTTCTAATTGGCTGCCAATCCCTCAGCCGTGCTGCCGTGGCATCATTGCACGATCAGGATGACGTCGGGAAGAAGCTTTTCGTCCTCGTTTCGCTCATCCAAGACGTCACTCGCCCATCCACATTTTCCACCTTCTATCTCTAGGGGATATGGACACGTTGGACGTACGGCGACAGCCATAGACAAACAGTACACTTCTTAAACCTAACTGACACCTCGGTAAGCCCCAAACAAGAAAGTTCTCCTATTACTCTTCAATAAGAACATACGGGGACGGGATTGTCTACGAACGATAGTACACTGAGCGAACAGACCGTCGCCAGGCCGGCGAACGATGAGTTACTAGCAAGTCGCTGGCCTGTCCTTCCAAAATTCACACTCATATGGGCCAACTGAATCTGGTGGATGATAGGGCGCCGACGACAGTGAGTGAAGGCCGCAGTGGGCGAATCAGTTTCGTATGCTGCTCCAAAGTCTTCCTAAAAATATTTTCCCAAAGCCAGCACCAGGATAGTATCGGTGATGGGCGCGCTTGGTAATGGGCACAGCTGGTAGCCATGCAGCTAATGTCGAGGTGGCTGTCTACGCAAGGAACTCGCCACTAAGGCAAAGAGGAACGGCTAGAAGCCAATAAAACGATAAGAACGAACGGAGGAATGAGTGGGATAATTGGCGCATCCGACGATACATGAACGAGTCTCTCAAAGTTTCAGCAGATGGGTGTCTAACCGGCTGCTAGCTGACCCCATGCCGTACACGCTGCACTCTTCGAGAATCTCATTAAGTGCTAATTAATGCTCTAAATAAACACCGTAATTACGTATGTGCCAATAAAGAAACGGGAGCCAGTTCTAGCAAACTAGATAGCGAGCTGCCGAAGCAACGCTGAAGGAAGATGGACGACACGAATAGATAAATATATTGGACAAAGAAGCATGAAGCGAGCGGGTGTCAAGAATCTATCGCGTGTTATGTAAAATAAACTCGATAAGGAAACTGACAGTTGTTGTGCTAAGTGGGAACAGAAATGAGAAAAGTTGATAAAAATCGCGAGAGAAATTTTATATATCTATATAGAATATGTCCGGTAAACTATATAAAATAGCAAACATAAAAACATGGAAAAGAACATGACAGATTCATCACTATCATTACAGGTGATAGTATGCACACAGCTGCTAGATGAAGCGAGTTAGCCGGTTTAAGAGTGAAGTTCCTTCAATGGCCCATTTTAGGACTTTTTTTTCCTGTCAGTGGGGAGAACGCTTGCCCTCAAGAACCAACTGGCTTTTTGAATATTTAGCTACGTTCTAATTTCCTTTTCATAGATTTGCTGATAATGGTGAAGAGGCATCGTTACTTCGTGTGTGACAAAACAGGACGAGAAGCCTGTAAAAGGACTTTGGTTAGTTCTTGTTGCTTTCGAAAGGAGCCTGCAAGTGGACCGTGACAGCGGACCCTATGCCCCCAATAGACCGTTCCTCCTAGTGAACTCATAGAAACCCATAAACAATTCTGCGAATCAAAGGCATTAGAAACTACTAGTAAAATGTAACAGCTTTGTGGTTTGTACATTTAGAAAGTATTTAAAAGGTCTGTGCAGATCAGTTAATTTCGGTCGAGTCTTTCACAGTTACGCTGGGTATGCCAGGCTTATATTATTTTTCACGAATTGTTGCTGAACCATCTCGAATGGCACACTATAAAGTCTCTATAAAGTTAACTGCTACATAAATCTAGGCCACTTCCTCCGCATAGGATCAATGGATGGATCTGAATGAGTATATTGTTACAAGGGCACCCGCCGTATAGTTGTAATAGGCTCCTTAGATACGGTTCGCAGAAGACTGTCAAGCGTTACTTTACCAAGGCGGCGTCAAAAGATATCAATTACTCCCGGTACAAGTCGGGACAACCAAATCTATATATAACATTTTCCGACTATAACTAATTTACAGTTGTATTGTTCGCCAGTGACCGAAGTTCTAATCCAGTGATATCTTTTACCACGACGTGGCGTTACTATAGTCATTAGATGCGGTAAAACGCAAGCCTGAAAGCATTACAACGGAACTTCAGATCACTGCAGACCTGATTCTTTGTAGCTCCTTAGACGTACAGCATACAGAACAGAGCATCAAATCAATAGCTACGCCTGCGAATAATAATGTGCGATATATGTATACAAACAGATATAATGGATATCTTTTCGCTCTGCTTAGTACTAGCCGGATTCGTTGGTTCAACTCGGTGTCTTCGCTAGGAACAAAGCCGTACTTCTTTTGACGCGTGAGGTTAAGCTGTTCTCCAGCCAATGACGGGCGGAACAAGTGCTGCCAATGTGTGCACTCAGGGGCCACAAATGGAAGCAACGGAGAACGATCACCGACGGCCCACGTCGACGAAGGAAAAGCAATCTAATCTATACAGCATCATGGCACGCCAATCGCCAACAAACAAAGCATGATCAACTATGCGATGGGGAGAAAAAGATTAAACAGGCGAGCTAGGTAAACGCGGCTTCGTCAGAGAGCCTCTATCGGTGTGGTAGCCATATATACGCGTGCTATCTTTTTCGTAAAACAAAAGTGCACTGGCCAACTAAAAGTAGATAGAGAAGCGTCCTTCCCATCTGTGCGTGCATAAAGAATCCCCTCCACAGAAGAAGGGTAGAAAAGCGTTTCTAGGTATCAAAGCCAAAATGGTAGCGCTACGAAAGAAAAAGCTAAGGCTTTGGATTTTGTGCTCAAAAGTTCTTCCACGATAAGCAATGGTGCTCTTGCTTTTTATAGTGCAGTTTAACGTTAAATATAATAAAGCAAATATAAGTTAGATTTGTAAGGATCAAGTTGTTTATTGCACAGTGTACTTCCCGAAGTGCTAAAATGATTAGTATTAATTGTTGAAATATCAGCAGGAATTCAAGTAATATATAAACATGTTTGAGTTTTAGTTCGAAGAGATAATTCGATTATGTGATCCAAGTTTTTTTCTCAGGATAGGACGTCGGTTGTTATGGCCATTCCAGGTGTATCATTTTTCTCTAAGTACTCGTCATCTTCGCAGAGTGGCCAGAAATGGTCATGGGAGCC